TTAAAGTTCTTATTGACGCCCTACTGCATTTAACAAAACATACTCACAACAATTTCAAAAGTAAATTTTTAATAGCTATTTGCTAAATAAATTAAAAATTTATATGAAAAGGAATGACAATATATGCAGCCATAAGTGATCATAAAACAAAATTATCAATTTATGGATAAGTAAATATTAATTATTGCTTTTTTGATAGTTATGCGAAAGAATAAGAAAAGCTCTTAATTAAAGGGTCTAGAGATTGGGCTTTAGAAGCAAGATCTAATGATGGATTACAAAATGAGTTTTCATGCTTAATAAAGCTCAGTTAAAATTTAAAGCTTCACTTTATTTTTTAATGTGAAATATGTTTAAAAATCGACCTAAGTATATAAATACTGTGGTTTTTATTTTTATATCTGAAACAATATTATAAATGAGGTAATGAAATATAAAGTATGTTCACTTTAAAATACTTACCTGGAAAAATATAATTCTTTTTCTCTTTTATGTTCCTTTCTACATGGATACAACAGTATGCTGACCTTTTTGACAAAATCGATATAACAGGCGAAGGCACAGTTGATTGGGATAAATTCGCTTCTCATATTCTATTGGAGTTCTACGAGAAGGATGATCGAATCAAGACAACAAATTGTCCTCAATGGCGAGAATTGAGGACTCTTGCAAGCCCACACAAAGATGTCATCCAAGGCGTAATGTACTTGAAGCACTTCTCCCGCTACTTAAGCGTTGGTAAAGTAAACGATCTGTTTGCTTGTTTGATATTTTACAGGATGGCTCAGTGGTAATCTGGGGTCTGGATATGAAACCACAGAGAATGGCCAAGACAGGCACTGATTCTTGCAGACAACGAGATCTATGGGTAACGGATTTTGTCATCATGGGGAATATCAACAAATTAGCAATAGCATTTACAAGCAAAGAGATTTGTGAGCCAAATTTATCAAGATTTACCGTTATATATATTTCTAACTTAGTTGTGAACTTGCTGTTAGCATACACATGAGTTAAATAAGTATTTCTACTTCTAGCATTCTGCAATTTAAGTCTCAAGATGGATTTAGTCAGTCAAATTAAATTGTGTGACTTACCGCACATTCCGATTTGTATGGACTATTGGTAAGTATGCTAAAAAATCGTACCTATTTATTATAGTTGTGTTATAAGAGTTATGTTATTAATTATCGCTGTGTAGAATACCAATTGAATTCAAAATATTCTCCAATTTCATAAATTTATCCTGATTTTTTAAAATGTTATAATTCCGTCACAATATAAATTACTTGCCATAAAACAAGGTATAATAAAATTGGCCTTTAGTCCCCAATTAGTTCAGTACGGAAGCTTATTCTTAACATGGTTGTGATTTTTCCTGTTAGTTTGATGTAATATCTAATTAATTAAGCCTATATGTCAAATATTCTGCTTTTCTTTGTGTACAGACCTCTAAGTAGCCTCTGTTCCCATTTTCTCCCGGTTCCGAGTAAAACATGCTTCCTAAGTATTATATATCTTATTCAAAATTTAGTGTAAACTATTTATAGCAGTCGCAATTGTACCCTTTTAAGGATTCGAAGATCAAGTTTTTGGTTCTGCCTTGGCCCCTGGAACATATTTAGCTTCACATTCTGCTCTACAAGACAGCTTAGTTGCAATCATAAAAAAGTTTTTATCGCTTCAAAGCTACCATTATAGTGTTTATAGGAAAAAAAAGAGGAAATTTGATTTTGGTCTTAGGTTTTTGAGTTTTCCTCATTTTTCCTCATCGTCATAGCAAGGCTGTTTAAATAACTTTGACCCCAGCAGAAATTTAGATCTCTTTTTATCAAATAATAAGATTTAATAGCCTTATTAAGTCAAATGGGGTGGAATATAAGTAATGTAAAACGGAGCAAATCGTGATTTTTTCAAAATAAATAAGGCATAAAAACTAAGGTATATAAATTAATCAGCTTTTTAAGATGCTTACGATTTAGAAAATGTGCGAGGATATTATTTTACCTAACAGAAGGTTTGAACAGTTTGCCTTATTGCTCCAATCCCGTGTGAAACGAGAAATAAAGTATTTGCTAGTCGCTCTCTTTCATTCTTATAGTTTCATTTATTCGAGAGCATAAATTCCCGCTATGCCCTACTTGTGCGTTAAGATAACAATAAAGGTAAACCTATGTTTACCGGGCATACTATTCACATAACCCTACAATAAATTTAAGGAATTTGCATAATTCCTCTTAAACCTTAAATGGCTACACAAAACCATTGCGTTTTGCTTCCTTCTTATTGATGGTAAACCAAACGACTAGATTTCGACATTTCAGATAATTATTTTTATTATGTAACGATAGCTTTCACGCTGGCTGCCACCTAGGCTTATAAAGTCCCTGAGGTCTTATAATTCCGCATACAGTGTGGTTTTTCTGATTCCGAGATATAGGTTTGGCAAGTACCCTAAATCAGAATGTCCTTTCACGCCTCTTGGGCTTTATAGATGGGATATAAATAATTTCCGAAGATGAAAAATTTAAAATGGGCAAATAATCGGCACTAATCAGATGATATTGAATGGTATCTTTGCACAAAATAAAGAGCATTTTCATGCAAAAATACTATTGTCTTGGGACAAAGGAAAGTGGTATTTAGAAGAGTTTTATTGATCTATTGGCCAGTCTCCAAACTTAACCAAGAGTTCGGACGATAAATATCTTTCTTAAATCTAACCAGATCCTAGATTTCTGAGCTAACAAAGTCTTGGAGACAGAGGCATGACATAGTTTAGTGTAACGGAAATTCTAGCACTTCCATCTATCTTGAAATATATAAAATAGTTTTAATGCCTTCTTATTTTCCTATTTCTAGGTTTAATGTTGATAATCCAAATGAAGCGTTT